TCCAGATGTCTTTCCAAAAGGAACATATTAGTTTACATTCCCACCAGCAGTGCAGGAGTGTTCCCTTTTCTCCACATCCACGCCAGCATCTCTGGCCTACTACCTAATTTTTTTGGAGGATTTGATGAGTTAAGCCATCTGAAATGTTTTATATGTTACCTACTATGTAGAAAAATGGATGTTATTGTTATTCAGATTAGATATATTTTATTGGCTATAGTTCTCAAGGTTTCTGACAATCCTGATTGCTATTATTAATATCTGTTTTCAATGTGTGCTCCTGGGGTTTATGGAGAGGCTATTTCATGAGGTCCAGCAAGTCAAAACTATGTTCATAGTAACATGAGGCATTCTTTGGCCTCCTCATATTTATTCTTTCATGAGTGTCCAGTGGAGTTTTGCAGAGGTTACCTGCTGTGGGGTGACCTCATCACTCAGAAGCCTGAAAACTGGTGTGCCTGTGTCTTCCTGTGTTTTAAATTTTTCTTCATATAAACCTCTAACATTGTTAAAACTCAGATTTCACCTTAAAAATGCGAACAATGTAATCTAATTGTATGTGCCTTCATACTAATCTGAAATATGAAAATTAAAAATTAAAAAAAATTGGGGAGGCAGCTTCCCACTTGGATCCCCCTTCCACTGCCCGAGGTTCTGTTTCCCCCCTCTTTTGTTTCCCTGGTTTTTGCTTATCAGTCTTTCCATCAGTAAACTCCATCCTGTCACTTAAAAAAAAAAAGAAAAGAAAAATACTTTGTGCAGTGGCAGAATCATAGCCAATGAGGTTTATCCAAGGTGCAATTATTGCTAATTGAAAACTTTTCCCAATACCCTGTTGTGACAACTTGCAATACAGTCAGCACTGGCAGTTTTTGACCAATAGGACATAGCTGGACAGGCAAATTGATAAAGATACATGAGAGAGGATTTATTAGAAGAATTGGCTCATGTGGGTTCAGGGGCTAAGAAATCCCAGGATAGGCCTTGTTCAGGCTGGAGACCAAGGGAAGCCAATAGGGTGGCTCAGTCAAAGTCTGAAGGTATCAGAGCCAGGAAAGCTGATGGTACAACTCTTACATGGAACTCTGGGGAACTGCTGAAGCAAGTGCCAGAAGAGCAGAAGCAGAAGGGCTTCCTAGCTGCAGAATACAGAACACTTTTCCTTTGCCTCTTTGCTCTATCTGGGACCCTCAGCTGACTATATCATGCTTGCCCACATTAAGGAAGGGTCTTCTTCACTCAATCCCCTGAGTCATATGCCAGTCTCTTCTGGAATCAGCCTCACAGATATGCCTAGAAACAATGCTTTACCACCCATCTGTGTATTACTTTACCTAGCATAGTGGATACTAAAACAAACCCACAGAGATTTGTGTTCTACTCTTGTCATCCCTTGGTGATGACATCATTATTTTGGGTTATTCACACTTTTGGTGCCAGAGTTCCTAGAGCAATAAAAGATGAAAGAAAAAGATTAAAAAGTAAATTTTAGGAGTGTAAAGGCATTCTGATGTCAGATATTTAAGAACTGTGATACCAATTTGATGCAAATATGGGCCTCTAAAACAAGGTCTTCTGATTTAAGCACATTGAGTATCTTGTTTTATCACATAGAATGTGAAGCAATTATTGTTACAAAAATATAGAATCCCTAGTTTACACAAGGGGGAAAATGGTTTTTGTTTTGTTTTGTTTTGGTTTTTTGAGAGAGAGCAAGACACTAAAGATATAGAAGTCATAACAAAAGCTTGTTGAGTAACCAGATCTATATGTTACCTCAGATTGTAAGTTTTCCACTTACAATTTGAGTAGCCTTGGGAAGTCACCCTGTCAGAGTTCAGTTTCTTCACTGTCATAGTTTGTTTGACTGCTATAACAATATGCCATATAGCATGCATGGCTTATAAACAATAGAAATTCATTTTCTCACAGTTCTGGAGGCTGGGAATTCCAAGGTCCAGACAGATTTATCTCTAACATGGGTCTCCTTCTTCGCTTTTACATGGCACCTTATAACTGTGTTCTCATCTGGTGAAAGGGGTGCAAGGTGTCTCTGGAGCCTTTCTAATGAGGGCACTAATCCCACTCATGAGAGTTCTACCCTATTGACTTTATCACTTCCCCAAGGCCCCACCTCCTAACACTATCCCCTTAGGTGTTAGGATTTCAACAGTGCCGTTTCATGGAAGATATTCAGATCATAGCATTCACATACTACAGGTGTCAGGATGCCAAATTGCAGGGTTGTAGATTTGGTAAGATTTTATGTCTGTCTTTTCCTTCACTGGGGGCCCAATGAATAGGAATTTAATATAAATAAAAATTGGAGTCTCATGTGAAAACACTTGTCTTGGGAAGTTGTCCTTTCCTGAAGTCCTGGGCATCTGCCTTCTGATAACAAAGTCTCATTTATGTGGAAGATGTGGGACTCCATGGATGTGACTCAGAGAACTAACCAAAGCAACAAGGAAGCCATTATTGTTTCCAATAACCAGACCAAATGCAGGGTGAAAGTCGAATTCCGGAATTTGACCTTCACCTTTAAATTTGAATTATTTGAATTACTGGATTCAAATACATCTGCTTCATTTTCTCCTGCTGGAGCAAGGACTGACCATTTCCTTTTGACTTTCCAATATTTCCACTGACAGAAGAATATTCCCTTACCTTCACCACTAGTTAGAATACTGACCCAGATTGGGTCACAAAACCATGCTCGGGGGAGAAAAGTTAACATGGCAAATCCTGCATTAAGTCTCAGTTCCATGATCTGAAGGTTTGCTGGAAACTACACAAGTTGAACAGCCTTGTACTCTCTGACTCAGCCATTCTTTAAAACACTCACCAAAGATGTAGGAAAAATGATAACAATGCTGCTCATAATGTTCCTAGATGAAGACCACCCTAATGCCCAGAAAGAGTAACATGGATGTCCAAATTGTAGTGCATTCACAGCATGGAAAATTATACATCAATGAGAATGAAGTTTCTTTCCCTAAAACAATGTGAATGAATCTCAGACACATAGTATTGAGTGAAAGGAACCAGACATGAGGGTATGATTCAATGTATATGAAATACAAAAAGGAACAAAATTAATTTATGGTGTGAGGTGCCCAGACAGTAGTTAGTCCCTGGAATGGGATAGGAAGTGAGACTAGAAACAATACATTTCTTTCTTTCTTTTTTTCTTGATACAGAGTGTTATTCTGTCACCTTGAGTAGAGTGCCATGGTGTCATCATAACTCACAGCAATCTCACACTCTTGGGCTCAAGCCATCTTCTTACCTCAGCCTCTCAAGTAGCTGGGGCCACCGGCACCTGCCACAACATCCAGCTGGTTTTTCTATTTTTAGTAGAGACAGGTTCTTACTCTTGCTTAGGCTGGTCTCGCACTCCTGAAATCAAATGATCCCCTGCCTGGGCCTGTCAGAGTGCTAGGATTATAGGCATGAGCCACTCTGCTGGCCTAATGATATGTTTCTTATATAGCTGTCAGTTATATGGAGTGTTTACTTTATGAAAATTGACCTATCTGTACACAAATGACAAATGTACTTCAAAAATGCATATTAATAGGTGCAAAACAAGCAGTATATCCATGTTCTAGAACAGTGTTTTTCAACCTTTTTTATCTCATGGCACACTTGAACCTATAGTTAAACTTCTCTGGCACACTTATATTTATGTTAATCAAGAAAAATAGTTTAAAAAAAGAGTATACTTACTGTTATTTGAACTTCTTTTGAAAATAATTTGATGGATGTTCTTTAAAAATTTTTCTAAGCACCACAAAGATCCTCTCACAGTACACCAGTGTGCCACAGTGCACCCATTGAAAATCATTGCAATAGAATATCATTCAGTCATGAAAATAGGAACAAAGTCTCAATACACAGGTGCTACAGCATAGATGAATGTTAACATCATCTTGCTGATTAAATGCAGCTAGGACAAAGGGCCACATATTTTATGATTCCATTTCTAGGAACCACCCCAAATTAGCAGCTCAGTGGAGACAGAAAGCAGGGTATTGCTTGCTTTACTTCCCGAGTCTGGCAGTGAGGGAGAATGCAGAGTGTTTGGTTAATGGGAACAAATTTTTCTTTAGAAATGATGAAAATTTGGGAGAACTTTGCCACCCTGAGCAACACAGCAACACTTCGCCATTACAGAAAAAGAAAAATTAGCTAGGCATGGTGGTGTGTACCTATAGTCCCAGCTGCTGGGAAGGCTGGGGAGGTTGCAGTGAGCTATGATGATGCCACTGCTTCTAGCTCAGGTAACACGATGAGATATCTCTCTCTCTCTCTCTCTCTCTCTCTCTGTATATATATATATATATATACATATATATATATACACATACACATATATACACATGTATACATACACACACATATATATACACACTTATACATATATGGGAACTAGATACAGGTGATGATTACACAACATTGTGAATGTACTAAATTCCACTGAATTGTTCACTCTAAAATAGTTAATGTTATGCCATTGAATTTCACCTGAAATAATTTTAAAATGCAATTTTTACTTGAATCTAAAACTTTTATTTATTTATTTATTTTGTAGAGACAGAATCTCACTTTATCACCCTCCATAAAGTGCTGTGGCACCACACAGCTCACAACAACCTCCAACTCCTGGGCTTAGGCGATTCTCTTGCCTCAGCTTCCCAAGTAGCTGGGACTACAGATGCCCGCCACAATACCTGGCTATTTTGTTGTTGTTGTTGCAGTTTTGGCCAGGGCTGGGTTTGAACCCGCCATCCTCGGTACATGAGGCTGGTGCCCTATCCACTGAGCCACAGGCACCACCTGAATCTAAAACTTTTAAAATGGGAATATCAGGGAAAGTTTGAAGTTCTCTGAGAGTTTATTTAAGTTGCCAAATATTTATACTGTTAGCTATTCATCAGGATCTTTTACAAAATATGATAACTAGATGAGGCGATAGTTTTGTTAATTACACTGATTTGATCACCCCACATTATAAACAAGTATCAAGACATCACTTTGTACCCCATAAATATATACAATTATTATCTGTCATCAGCATCTTAATCTGAATGCATATTCTTCCCCACATATGCCCTGCTGGATCCTTACTCTGACATGGTCAGCATTGTACTGGTCACCACTGAGAGTTGGCTGTGTCTTGTTTCAAAAAAAGGAGTCATCTACATGGAAAAGGGTCCCAATCTTTATTGATCAGAATTATCAGGATTGAAAAGGATGGAATTCTATTTTGAGAGGCAGATGATGAATCAGTAACTTTATCTCTTCGAGAACATGGAGACTTTTCTAAGTACTGTGGAGGAAAAAGAGAGGTTAGAATTGGTGTCATTGAGTGCTACCCTGCAAGGGTCCTTGTCACAGTCTGTAAATCACCCTGACTGATAACTTATTTTTCTTTCTGATGAGAGCCTTGCTCTGTCACCCTAGTTTGATTGCAGTGGTGTGATCATAACTCACTGCAACCTCCAACTCCTGGGCTCAAGAGATCCTCTTGCTTCAGCCTCCGGAGTGGTTGTGGTGGTTGTGGCTATAGGTGTTTGCTGGCCACCATGCTGGGCTAATTTTTTTTGAGACCAAGTCTCACTCTTTTGCCCCAGACTAGAGTGCTGTGGTAGCATCAGCCTAGCTCAAACTCATAGGTTCAAGCAATGTTCCTGCCTCAGTCTCCTGAGTATCTGGGACTACAGGTGCCCACTGCAGTGCCTGGCTAATTTTTGTATTTTATTAGAAAAATGTATCAAGAAAAATGGCAAAAAAAAAAAAAAAATATATATATATATATATATATATATATATTTACTGTTACTTCTATACCTTTAGGCCCTTAGGCTGGTTTTGAAGTCCTGAGCTCAAGCAATCCACCCACCTCAGCCTCTTAGAATGCTAGGATTATAGGCATGAGTCATCAGGTCTGACCTTACATGCCCAGTTAATTTTTAAATTGTTTTGTAGAGGCCAGGTCTCGCTATGTAAAATTATTTGTAGAGGCCAGGTCTTGCTCAAGCTGGACTTGAACTTCTGGCCTCAAGTGATCCTCCAGCCTTGGCCTCTCAAAGTGCTGAGATTACAGGTGTGAGCCACTGACTCTGACTTCCTTATGTCTAGTTTAATACTCTATTTTACTGGGCCTTTCATCCTTCAATTATAACTGAGGGATATGTTAGCTGTTCGTTTGTTTGTTTGTCTGTTTTTGTCACCATGGGAACCATCTCCTTACATATTTGTGCTGATATCTAATTTTTTCTGTAGGACATATCCTATTTTAGCCACTGTAGTAAGGCCTCTCAAATCAGAAGGTGGCAGGGGAAGAAGGAAGAAGAGTTATTTTCACAATAAATAGAATTTCTATTCTACAGACTGGAAGTAGCTGGTTAAAGGGCATGGTTGTTTATTGACAAACAGGGTCAATGTGTCCCTATTTACCTGGGAATGGTGTGAGTGAAGGCCCTGTGCCCTCCTTTTATCTGTTAGTCTCAGGGAAGACTCTCTTCTCCACCCACTCATCCTGTCTTATTCTGGCATCTACTTCTAACTAATATTTTGTATGACATTACATTCCACTTCAAATCTCTTTTTACAAAAAAAAAATTGGAAAAATAAGGAAAGGAGGAGAAAGAGGAAGAGCAAAAGGAAGAAAAAGAAAAGCAGGCCACAGTATTACAGGTGTTCTTAATCAGGTAGTATTCTGAGTGCTTTGTAGCATTTAATTACCTTGATCTTTAGAACCATCCCATGAGATAAGTTTAATGAGTGATGTCATTTCATGAATGGTTACCTATACAATGTCCATTTTTTAAGCAAGAAAGCATCAGAGGAAGGGAGTAGATGGTGAATTTAATCAGTGTGTTGGCTCCACGGTTGTCTGTTTTTAGCCACTGCACAGTAAGTCCTCTCAAAGCAGAAGGTTGCAGGGTAAGAAGGAAGAAGAGCTATTTTTACAGCTCTAAAATCAGACATCCCTTTAGAAGGGGAGGGATAAATCCCTAGGGAATCTTCTCTTGAGATCAGGTTGTCTACATTCTGGACAATATAATCAGTGAAACTACCCAGGTGCAGGCAGAGCTTGTTTGCATGCCACTTTGTGCTTGCAGACATTGCCTGCTTTGAAAACTGAAAGTCTATGGCAACTCTCCATCCAGCAAGTCTTTCATTTTTCCAAAGGCATGTGCTCACTTTGCATCTCTGTGTCTTATTTCAAGAATTCTTGAAATATTTCAAACTTTTTTATTATTATTTTATCTGTTATAGTGATCTGCACTCAGTGATTTTTGATACTATTGTGATAATTGTTTTGGGGCACCATGAAATGCACTCACATAAAATGGTGTATTTTTTTAAGAGACAGAGTCTCTCTCTCTCTCTCTCTCTCTCTCTCTCTCCCTCTTGCTTAGGCTGAAGTGCAAAGGTGGGATGATAGCTCTTCAAACTTCCAACTCCTGGGCTCGAGCAACCCTCCAACTTCAGCTTCCTAAGTAGGGGACTGCAGGTGTGTGCCACCACATCCTGCTAATTTTTTTTCTTAATTGTAGATATGGGGGTCTCACTAAGCCATCCATACTGGTCTCAACCTCCTGGCCTCAAGAGATTCTCCCTCCTCAGCCTCCTGAAGTTCTGGCAGTACAGGTGTGAGCCATTGCACCTGGCCCTGTTAATTTAACAAATAAATATGTTCTCACTGCTCCACTGACCAGCTATTCCCCCATATCTCTCCATTTACTCAGGCCTCTGCAGGGAAAATTGGGGTTAGGCCAATTAATAACCCTATAGTGGTTTCTAAGTGTTCAAGTGAAAGGAAAAGTCACATATGTGTCATTATTATTCAAAAGCTGGAAATGATTAAGCTTGAAAACCAAGACAAGTGAGGGGATTCTGGGAAGATGGCCAACTGGTAGCAACCCTGGTCAGAGGCTCCTGAGCAAAGGAAGAAAACTGGTTGGAATCAGAATCTATGAAGCCAAAGATGGGGAGCTGAGCCCAGAAAGAAGTTCAGCAAGCTGTAAATCCAAGAAAGAGCATTTAAGAACACAAAATACAGGTACAAAGCGGGTCCCAAAACTGCTTGCTAGAGCCACCTGCCTCCCGTGGGTGGCAGGTGGCCGCAGAGGAGTCTCCTGTGCCAGGAAGGCACAGAACTACTAGCTAGAGCCTTGCGCACCCCACGGGCTGCAGTAGGGGAGTCCCCCACTCTGGGAGGGCCCAAAACTACTTGCTAGAGCCATGCATCCCACAGGCAGCAGAGGAGACCCCTGCTCCAGGGCTCTGGGCAGGTCCAGAACTGCTTGCTAGAGCCACAAGCCTCCCACGGGTGGTGGGTGGCCACAGAGGGGTCCCCCTGCTCCAGGCAGGCACAGAACTACTTGCTAGAGCATTGTGCACCCCTGTGGGTGACGGTGGAGGAGTCCTCCACTCTGGGAGGGCCCAGAACTGATTGCTAGAGCCACGTGCCCCACAGGAGGCAGAGGAGATCCCTGCTGCAGGGCTCTGTGTGGGTGCAGAACTGCTTGCTAGAGCCACATGCCTCTTGTGGGCAGTGGGTGGCCACAGAGGAGTCCCCTGCTCCCGGCAGACACAGAACTACTTGCTAGAGCCCTGCACACACCCACGGGTGGTGGCAGAGTGGTCCCCCTCTCTAGGAGGGCCCAGAAATGCTTGTTAGAGCCGCACCCCTCCTGCAGGTGGCGGGTGGTCGCAGAGGAGTCCCCTGCTCCAGGCAGGCACAGAACTAATTGCTAGAACCACATGCATCCCACAGGCCGAGACGGAGGAGGCCCCAAATTTCAGTGGGCCCAGAACTGCTTGCTAGAGCCACGCACCCCACAGGCGGCAGAGGAGATCCCTGCTCCAGTCCTCTGGGTGGGCCCAGAACTGCTTCCTAGAGCTGCACACCTCCCACAGGCAACAGGTGGCCACAGAGGAGTCCCCTGCTTTGGGCAGGCACAGAACTACTTGCTAGAGCCACACGCACCCCACAGGTGGTGACAGAGGAGTCCCCCACTTAGGGCGGGCCCAGAACTGCTTGCTAGAGTTGCACGCTTCATGGGTGGCAGAGGAGATCCCTGTCCCAGGCTCCTGCTCTGGGCAGGCCCAGAACTGCTTGCTAGTGCTGCGGGCATCCCACGGGCAGTGGCAGAGGAGTCCTCCGTTCCAGGCAGACCCAAAACAGCTTACTAGAGACACACACACTCAACGGAGGCCAGCGGAGGAGTTCCCTCTCCAGGCACCTATGCTGGGTGGGCCCAGAACTGCTTGCTAGAGCCACGCATGCCCTGCAGGTGTCAGTGGAGAAGTCTACCGCTCTAGGCCCAGAACTGTTTGCTAGAGCCACATGCATCCCATGGATGGAGGTGGAGGAGTTCCCCGCTCTGGGCTCCCACACTGGGAGGGCACAGATCAGCTTGCTAGTGCCACACACATCCAATGGACAATGGTGAAGGAGTCCTCCACTCCCCCCCCCACCCAGCTACTCTGGTGGGGCTGAACTAGGACTGATCTGGTCGCTCACGTACCCTGCAATACCACTGCCATTCCCCCACAACCCAGCTGCTCCAGGGTGCTGAACTAGGACTGATCTAGCCACTATAGTTTCCCTTTTACACTGGTTGCCCCAGAGGGGCCAAACTAGGACTGATCCAGCTGCTCCCAGTCTCCTGTCCCCTAGTCGCCCTGACAGTCTGAATGAGGTCTAATCTGGCCACACACACTCCTGTGCAGCTGCTGCCATTCCTCTGCACCCCGGTTGCCTCAGCACCCAAGAACTGGTAGAAGATAACAGACACACTCTGCCTGTTTCTCTGGGCAACCAGAAGAAGCCACCAACTGAACAGTTCTGATAAGGCCTCCAAACAAGGTAAACTCAGCATGGGGTGGAATCAGCGGAAAAACTCTGAATAACCAGAGTAGATCAACTCCCCCAAGAAAATGGATCTGAAAGGTACGGTGGAATCCCTCCGTAACAGAGTGGAACAGGCAGAAGAAAGGATCTCTGATACTGAAGACGAAGCTTTTGAAGAAGCCCAGGAGTGCAAAGATCAAAAGAAATTGAGACCAAAAACAGATCTCACTCTCAGAGAGCACTCGGATAATTTGAAGAAAACTAATATTCACCTTATAGGAATCCCTGAAGGTGATGAAGTTGCTTCACAAAACATAGAGGCTCTTCTTCATGAAATTATGAAAGAGAACTTTCCAGACATGCCAAGAGATTCTGAAATTCAGATAGCAGATAGTTTCAGAACCCCAACATGACTCAACCCGAACAAGACATCCCTCAGACACATCATAATTAACTTCATC